GCCTGCAGTTCAATTACTCATTGCCAACACATTGTCCCGTCACGTTGTGACCATCTTATATATACCAGACTACCCCCAATCTAATAGTCTCCCGACAATTCACGAAGGTTCGAGAAAGAAGTGGCGTGATACTAGTCACGTGACCTCGCTGACGCAACTGTATGTTGGGTTTTTAAACAAAATTTTTTTGAAAAGTTATCTGTTAACTTTAATAAAATTGTCTTATTTGTACTAAAAAACTTAATATAAATGGATCATTTTGTGCTCTGTATTATGGATTTTATACTAGTAAAGAATAGAAACGCTGCTTAATATGCATGGGTCGTCTTGAATTATGAACTTGTTAATGACATGCGTTAAAAATTAAAATGAAAAACGTGTAAATTTGTAATGTATAATAATAGTTCTAACACGTGAAACGTTTTGAGTCATTCAGTTTTAAGGGTAATTATTATATATAATATCTCATTTTCCTTGTTACTTCACCGATAATAAATTACACCATCCCAAATATGATCACACTTCATTCGAATAGAAAGATGTTTCCCTATATTAAGATGAAAATGCACTTAGGCCTTAAACATATATAAACATAGCGCCCTCTTGGTAAAAATATATAAAAACGTTCTAAAGACTTTAAACAGCACTAGACGTTCTCTGCATATTGATTCCTATTTTGCTATTTGACTAACTAAAGATTAAGGCAATTCTCTTTTTTTTTTTAATTACATTTCCTCAGATTTAGAAACATTCAACACTGTTTATGCAACTAATTAGTTTATTTATACCGTTCGGAACAGGCTAAAAAGTGAAACTCCTCACACAGATGTCGGCGTTGTCGTAAAATGATTTTTTTTTTTTTTAGGTTTTGATTCAATATACCAGTTGTATAATTCAGACGCGTCTGTATTTCGGGAACACGTTGTTTGTGTTGGTTTACAACACAATGTATTTGATACAATAAGTATAACAATTTTCAAAACTATCTACAGAATTTAAAATTTCAAAGCAAAAACAAACGGAAATAAAAACTACTACTAAACTTATTGTTATTTGAATAATTTTAGTCAATCTCTTTTCAGTTGGTTCACACATGCATCTTGTGATACTTAATTAATAAAATTAATACACTATTTAAACCACAACGATGGCTCGAAGATGTAGTAAAATATTTGTTTGTTTGTGTAATAGTAAATAATTGTGGTTTTAATGGTTTATTATATTTATTAGTCCCGTTTTACTTGAAAAATCACGTGATAAAAGGAAATCAATAGTTACCGAGAAGGGTCTTTGTCACAAAATCCAGATACAACCACGACGGAGCCAGGAACAAGTCCATAAGGGATGCGGGAAGCAACAGGACCAGTCTAAACAAGTAGCTTTGTATTAAAGACTGCTAAATGAAGCAAATAATACCAAATTATAGATTACATAAAGAGTTAATTTCTTACTACCAAAATCAGGACGATTTACTTCATTAAAACAATTTTATTTTTAAACTCCACCACTAGGGAGCGGCACCCGAATTCACACAAATTATCTGGTTTTCATCCAAAATATTAATGTACACTATTTTTTTATTTTTTGCCCGTTTAATTTTTTTTTGTCTGCTTCCCTGTTTTTTCTTAGTTTTTAAATACCCCTTACTCTGTTTATCTATTTTAAAGAACATATTCACGTGTGTGATTTCATATCTCAGAAGAACATACCGGAAGAACAAATCGCTGGAAAGGACTAGTTTGAAGATCACGTGGTGTATCATCCCCAAAATCAGGAGGTAGATGGATCTAAGAAAATAACATTGTTATGGTAACAACAATTTTAGGGGGATACATAGCTAATTTCTTGTATATTTATATTACAAAGTGATTATTAAAAATAACACACTTTCGATCACTTTTATTACAAGTTACAGCTTCTACATTAAGTAAGACTTGTTTTTAGAACAGGTACGACGTTTCGATCACTGGAGCGATCATTCTCAAGTACACAAGTACCGTCACTGTTCTGCAGTTTGGATAACGGTGTCAAAATGTAAATCACTGTTCCGTGGTTTGGGTCATGATGATGTCAACTGCTTACTTTAATACATTTTGTATGATGATATTTTATATTTTTTAAGAAGCCTATAAATACACAACTACTTACTTAAAAGAAGAGTTAAAATAAATTAACGCTAAAAAATCTTTTTTTTTACTGAAAATGTTTAAAATGTTTAAAAATGTTCGTTGAATTGTTATATCTTGATTTTGTGTAGTAACCCAACTAGCTAAAGAACTGCGATAAATCGTGATTTCAGGAACTCAAGTAAGGTTTTTTCATACTAGAGGTTACATCCTATAATAAAAAGTAATTTATAATATTAATAAATAAATTTAGCTTAGTTTCTTGTACGTTAAATTTGAAAAACTACATCAGTTTTTACGAAATAGGGACTTCCTTGTTTAATTTTGAAGCTAAGATCTAAACCTTTTTACGTTTTATTTATGATAAATGTTCTTACCGGTGCACTGTTAATCCACACATCTTTCACGTTGACATCTCCTTCAATGTATAAAGTGCATGCTTTTTTCATTTCCAGTCGGTGATCAAATTTCGAAAGATGCTTCCCGTTCACCCAAGTATGAAATCCATCTTTACCCACACAAATGAATAATTCAAAAGCTTTTTCTGCGGTAAAGGGCATTTTTGCTTCGCGCTGTTCGTCCGCCCATGTGTCGTCACATAAAGTATTACAAACTATCAAGCCTTCTGTAAAGCGGGGATTCAAGTGGAAAATAATGTCGTCGGCCTTTCCGGATCCACATTGAATATTAACAGCAAACCTGTCACAAGAACAAGTATTATTCTGAAATATTTGTTACAATGTCATAATATCTGTAAGTTCAAGAAATGTTTGGAATGAGGCGAAATCGTGTCCGGAGCCACCCTTTTCCAGGTGGGAACTCTGCTTTAAAGATATATTGAACACAAGCGTGTTGGACGTACTAGTTAGGATGATTAAGGCAAGTTTTGGGGTGGCTATAGTCCCCCAATTCCACACTAGCGCCATCTCTGGACGAAGTACAAACCTACAATTTCGAGGAACATTTTAACAAGATACTAAGCTTTTACTGCTGAAAAGCTGACTCGATTAAAGAAATCAAAGTTCAATTAAACGTAATTTTATTAAAAATAAGAATCGATATTAGTTGAAAGAAATAAAAACAACTTAGAATATTAATTCGGCTGTAGTGAAGTTATAAAAGCTCTTGGAATTCCCAAACTGTGATATACTGAACAAAATATCTTATAAGTACTATTGATTTATGCGATTTGTTTCAATAAAATAGACTAAAATCGTTAGTTCTAGTTCTAGACACTTGGCATACTTTCATCCAAGTTTTCATCATTGACTTTTGATGGTTTTAAACATGGATCAGTATTTCCTTTAAAGTTATCCATATTGCTATGTATCTATAGTACTTGCACTCTAGGACTCAGCCTTTATAACATAGTAGACATGTGTGTGTTAAAATTTGTAATAGGTTATTTTCTGTGTAGAATGTGAGCCAAAATCCTAAACTTCCACACCATTTCACATCGTCTGGTAGAAAGGCCACCTCATGGGTGGCTTATTTGGGTTATTTTTTTATGTTGTTTGCTCAGATGCGTTGGGGGTATTAATTGTGAAAGCAGCTTCTCGTGTATTTTTAGCTTTATAGCATGCATGATAATGCTAAGATCGGAATGCCCTTGATGTTATTGGCGATAATTTTGGATAATTTCAGCATCTAATCAGAAAGGATGAATAAAGCTTGGTGAATTTCTCCGACACTTATAGCCAATCAGTATGTGTTACATCTACCTGTAACTTTCTTTAAAGTCGTTAAAATTTAACGTTACTCCATCGCCTGTATTGTTCTAAGCCTTAACCGACTGGTTCTTCTTATCTTTAAATCACTGTAATTTGTTTTTCTTCTTGAATTACTTATATATCAGCTTGTCTCTTGTCCTCTGTCTCAGTTTTGCGGGCTCTAACTAAACAATTGGACTTAAATTCCTGGATGTAAATACTATAATACAGGCAAAAGATCAAATTTTTAAAGATAAAAACTTAAGATCTAAATGTTGTTGTTTTTTCCTAATAATCGTAAGTGTTCAGTTGTATTGTTTCTCTTATACTGACTGGGCTACTTACCCTTCTCCATTACTTGGGATTTTTCCACGGATGAAAAATATATCCCCTATCTTCGTCTTCCCAGGTATGGAGCAACGGAGGTGCTTCGGCTATTGATAAATACAGGAAAGAATAAATAATATCCAAGTCACAAAAATCTCTTCACGTTTAACATGTGGAGAAGTACCTATATTTCGTGGTAAAAGAAATCGTTTGAAAATTACCATCCAACAGTTTTACCGAACGTGTGCCAGAATGTATGACACGCCCCTTCACAGTGTCGACAATTTACGTTTTACGAGGGGTTTATCTGTTGTTAAGCAAAAAAAATACATAATGGGCTATCTGTGTTTCACGTTATACATATATTAAATTGCAAAAGCCTTGAACAGAGCTCTGATTTAAAAAGTCCTTACTAGCGTTTCCACGGGGATCTGAATATTGTGTATGATGACGTCACCGGTGAATGATAGGTGAGTGACGTTGGTGAGAGGTAGTCCGTCCCGATGGTTGAAATCAATGAACTTGCTACCGTCAACTTCAATCTACAAATACAAGAAACCAGGAGAATCAATGGTATACATTAATTAATATATTAAATCAATTATTTCAAAACATTTTCTATGTTTTAATTAATGGATGTTTCAATTGAAACCATTGTGTATAGACATAATAATAATAATAATACGCTTCTACAAAACTTAATCGCGCTTCTATATATAGAAATGAAAAAGGTAATTTCTACTATTAGGTTTGAGTCAAAAACCTTTTTACTACATAATAGGTATCGTTACAGTTTGTTTCTGATTAAGGTGCAAGTAACAATTGGATATTGCGGTTATTTAATTGAGGAGGAAACAAAATTAAAACATTAAAATACATTTTGACTTACTATAATACGGAATATACTCTTTATAATAGGCGTGTAACTCAGTGTCAGTGTTTATTTCATACAAACTCATGTACCATAAAAAATGACATGGAAAAATATTTCATTTTCAAATCTGTATAAGTTAAAGGCCAGGTATTTTGATTTAACAATTTGTTATATATAGAAGCATAACAACAATATGCTATTAACCCAATTAATTTGTTCTTTCACTTTTATTATATCTGTTAAGTTTTTCGAATAAAGTTATGGTTTTGTTAATAAAATACACATTTTATTAGTCTTAAGCAAGTTCAGATAGTTGAACAGTCTTCAAGGTAGAATCAGTTCTTACAGAATCGTTTCAACTTTTTAGCATATGACGTGCAAGTTTTATTAAGTTGGAAACATTTCTTACTTCATATCCATCTGACTGGGCACTGATGACCACCAAGAAAGGCGTTGCGGGACGGAAAGGGGAGTCGCCAAATGTCTCCTCCTTACCCCACTCTCCGGCACGTGCGTTTCGTACCACAATAAAGGGCTCCTGAAATCTCGGATTGAAGTGAAGGTAGATGTCCGAATATTCGGGGTCATTGCCCCGCAGTAAGTTGATTGCAAACCTAGAAAATGAAATTGGGTTAGCTTTTCTGTTCAAGCCCTGTCGTAGAAATGAATTTGTTTGTTTTAACGCAAAGCCACATAGTGGACTATCTTTTCTCTGTACACCGTGAGGAATGGCATCCTGGACCTTAGCGTTATAAGTCTTAAACTGACAGCTGAGCTCCCACGGGGACAAAGGGGGATTGTACGGCAGAGACAACCGATTTTGGCCCTGAAATCTAATGAACACTAAAGTGTTGAAAGAGGAAAACAGTAAGTGGTGATTTTGGTAGCCCTTTATGCCCTACCTCCCAACAAGTCAATATGAAGATTTGTGTAATGATTTTGTCGATATGAAGTGCATATTATGGATATTTTATCGATATTCACCAAAAAATCATTCATTTACATTAAAACGGACTCGACTTTAACACCAAACACATGCATGTACCACCACGATATTTGCACGTATATGTAATGGTTTGTTTGGTTAGGGCTCAGTGGCGTAAAGCAGTTAGGCTATCTACGCCATGTGTAATGGTATAAAATGCATAAATATATTGTTACGACAGCGGTAGTCACGTGATGCTGGAAGCACGTGCGCTGGAGTTTCCAGATGGATCATGACTGTTCCTGGCAACTCTAGTCTTTTTAAACGCCCTCTATTTTAGTATATAAGCCAGGCAAATAAAGCGGAGCTTTAATTGCAGATAGAGAGATATAGAGACAATTAATTAAG